CACAAGCAAAATTATATAGATCAATTCACACAATCAAATTTTCATGATTATATCAAAGAAGAATCACTCACACTCAAAAAGAAGTCACATGCATGCAAGTGGTACCATAAGCTTGCCCTTAATGTAAATCTCTACTAATGTAGGCTCACTCGATCTAAAATCAATTAGGACTTTTTCATGGTTTGTAATGTGGGCTAAGGGACGGGTAGGATATATTTAGGAGTAGTGACTAACCCTCCTAAGCACTTTAACACATCACATAATCACTTGACGGCGCAAACTTCCTCAATCCCTACTTTCAATTTCACAATTAAATCACTCCCAACATGTCCCCTTTTTCTTTAAGCACTACTTTAATTTATACCCACTAGCAAGAAACAAGGGCAATAATTCATTCACCTATCTTTTTTTTTTCAATTTTCGCTAGTGGTGTATTATTTCACAAAACAAGTGCACCTTTCTTCCTTCTATTGGTTCCACTTCAAAAGCCACCCCACTCTTAGTTCCTTTCTTACTTCTGTTAGCGCTCATTTGTTCAATTAAAGTTGCTTTAGAGGTAAAGGAAAGATCAAAACAATGTCAATTAAGAATAAAAAGGTGATAGGCTTGTAATAGTGGGTGCCAAATAAAAGTCTATAGGCTCAAAAGGGTTAATTTAGGGATAGATTTTATTTGTGATAAGCAATAAAGCTCAAAAAGGTCAAAGAAAGCCTAAGATCAATTTTTTAAACCGAGCATCACCTAAGATTTCGCTTCATATTCAACATACCGGGCAAGTTCTAGATATACGTACGATACATAGACTATACAAAAAACCTCACTACACATGGCATATGACTCATTCAGATCAGCTCATCAAGACGCTCCTGTTACAAGCATTCAATTCAGTAGCAAACATACAAAAATCCTCTTTCTCTTTATTGTGAGGGCATATGATTCGTGACGGAAAAGCAAATCTTGACTTCTGTGTAGAGTACTTCGAGGAAGTGTGAATATTGCAAGGCACTTGAGAGTCGGCTTTGAGGCTAGGATTTTCCACTGCTAGGCTTAATGTATGTACATTGTTCTAGGCGTAATGCGTTAGGGAAATGGTTGAGTGAAGGAATCTCCAGAGAGTATAGTTTGATTGATCGAGGACTAGCAATGAATTAAGTGTGGGGTGTTGATAATAGGCGAAATCTAGATAATTTAGCTATTATTTATGCGTCCGCTTGATTATATTCCAAGGTCATATTATGATTAATTGATGAAATATGGGCTCTAATTGCGGATTGTATATATTTCAGGTTAAGGAGCATATATTATGCAAGAAAATGTGATTTGGAACCATTTTGGAGCAACAAAGACCCCTCTGAGCTGAATATGGTTGAAGACAAGGCAAAAAAATCAAGGACACTGCACAACTGGGCTAGCGCGCCCATATGCGCGCCCGCGCTAAAACTAGTGCGTCCAAAGACAGAAACTCAGCAAACTAGCGCGGCCAGATGCGCGCCCAAATGCGCGGCCGCGCTAAGCCAAAATCCAGTTCATTGGGGGCAAAAGTGAAAATCTGGAGAAAAATTCACTTAACCTATATAAGGTCAAGCTCGCCCAAGGGAGTTTTATCAAGGTTTTCATAGGCTAAAGCAAGGCAGAGAGAGGCAAGAGGCAAGGAGGAAATTGGATCATCAAGTTTTTCTTTTCTTCTCTTCGTTTTTGCTAATTATGATGAAATTGAATATACTTGTGATGAACAATAGTATGAGTGGCTAAAACCCATTGTTCTAGGGTCATGGGTAAAACATGAACGTTGTTGTTTGAGGTTTAATTTGACAAGTTGGTTTATCATCTTGGGTTGTTTATTTAATTCTGTTGTTAATTGTTTTGCTGAGTAGCTAACAATGAAACACTATCTACGAATCTAGAGTTGAACTCGAAAGTGGGAATTCTAGGTTGCATATAGAATTAAATAGAGCAGGTTCTTGAACCCGGGCCTCGGGGAACGGATTCGCGATAGACATATATCCACTTGCCTTGCTTGGTTAAAATATAGGAATTGTAATTGCGTTCTTGTTAATCTTAATTCCATAGAAATATAGGCATTGAGTTAACTTGAGCAGGCGAGTAAGAAGTCGACAGATTCTTACGAGTAATATAAACCTTGTCAATCAATAACCCAGATAAATCGATTAGTCATCTTAAGCTAAGGACACAACAAGATTGTTAACTAGCCCGTGACCCTGGAATATCCTCTCCTACTGTGTGTTATTCGAAACTGCTATTCGTTTGGTTAATTGCTTTAGTTAGATTATTTCTTGATAATTTAGGTAGTAAAATAAGTACATCTTTATTCTGTGACGCATCTCTTGAATAAGTAAAGTAATTGGGTTTGAATCAGTCAATAGTTGATCACAAGTCTTCGAGGGAATGATACTCTACTCACTATTCTATTACTTGACGATCACGTGCACTTGCGTGGGTATTTTTGGTCGCAACACTGAGTCTCAAGGGAGGGTGAATGTGATGCCCATGACGGAGGGTGGGCCGATGAGGGCTTAAGCAGAATTGGAAGGCTTATAGGCTGGCAAGCTTCTGAAGAAGGGGTGCATATGTAACCTTTAGCGAATCTCACGTCAGAATGGGAGAGGAAGTGAAGAGCTTTATAAGACATGATACAAGTTCACATCATACGCGCGCTTTGGGGCTCGAGGTGGCGTATCCGGAAACAAATTTGTGCGGGCAGAGGCCCAAAAGGAAAAATGCGTGCCAGGGACTTGGATTGTGACAATAGATCTTTTTAGAACTACCATTTATATTTTGATCCTGTTAAAAAAAGTTTTTAAAAAATAGCCTTGCACCTAAATTTTGAAGTACGTCGTTAGAATTTTCAGTCGCAATATTGAAAATTCTAGTAGCGTACTTTAAGATTTTGTCCCAGAGCTATTTTCTAAAAGTTTTTCTCAACAAGATCCAAATTTAAACGATGAAATTAAGAGCCCGTTTGAACGTAAGAATTTTTTTTTTTTGAAAACAGTATTTGGTTATCAAAATCTTACAATTTTTCTAATCTCACTTGAAAATGTATTTTTCAAATTTAAAAAACTGGTGAGAACCAGGTTTTCAATTGAAAATGGGAAGGTGACTAGTTTTTAGTTGCAAAATATATTGAAAAAGAGACATTCAAATATGTTGCAAAAATTATAACCAAACACAACTTCATCCACAATTCAAATTTAATGAAATTCTAAATTTAAAAAAAATAATATTAGAATTCATGTCCAAACGCCTACTAAATAATCCTATTTGTGCAAATCGCCCAAAAAAAGGCCGGGAAGTATATAAGGTGAATATAACTGAAATGGCAAACGTAATTAACTGCCAATTCAATTTCTAACACATACTGGAAAGGGAATTCCGTTAACTGTTTCAGATAAAACTTTACATTCAATGATAACTCTTCAGCTTCTCCTTCCATTATCTTCCCTTCAAAACCCTAACTTTACCTTAAAGAACCCAAATTTCCCACTTTCCAAATTCAACCCATTATCCAAAACCTTCCAATTCAATGATACCCATTTCAATTTTTTCATCAAAACTCCCAAGATTCTAACTTTCAAACAATTTAGATGTAACAAAGCTAAAAATCAGAGCTTTATATGTAAAGGGGTTAAAAAAGACTCAAATGAAGAGACTTCAAAGGCAGTTTTGGACCGCGGCGGCAGTGGTGGCGACGGCGGCGGAGGTGGTGGTGGAGATGATGAGCAAAATGGGATTTTGCCAGAATGGCTGAATTTTAGCCCAGATGATGCAAAAACGGTCATTTTAGCAGTGGTTGTATCACTTGCATTTAGGTCCTTTGTTGCTGAGCCACGGTTTATACCTTCTTTGTCCATGTATCCCACGTTTGATGTTGGAGATAGAATTGTTGCTGAAAAGGTAATTTCGTTGTTTTATCTTTACTACTATATGTTTGTGAATTTGCCGACCCCAACTTGTTTAAGACTGAAACTTAGTTATATATGTTTGTGAATTTATTCCTCTTGTTGTTGATGAAGTTGAACTTTGCAAGTTTAGTCGGATAAAGGAGGACGGTTAAGCTAGGTTCAGTGTTATCAAAGGCGAAAAGCGCAAAAAAGCTCTAAGGTCCGTTGGGGTTGTAAGCGCAAATAAAGCATGGGCTTTAATGAAAAAGGGCGCAACTGGATATATATATATATATATATATATATATATATATATATATATATATATATATATATATATATAGTCCAAGACCAATAATTATAAGCATGAATAACAAATATAAAGACAAAAAAATTAAAAAAGAATTATGATAAAATGAAATATCAATTGTTTAGTGTCGTCGCCTTTTCAGGATTATACTCATTGGCAAGGAAAAGTATGCCTCGGTGCCTTGATTGACACAAAAGCGCCCCCAAAGCGAGACGAACCGCTCAACATGTTTTGAGCCTCGCTTCAGGGCTTAAACGCGCTTTAACCGAGCCTTTGACAACACTGGCTAGGTTGAATCATCTAAATGGATATAGGTGAATCATATAAGCTAATAACGACTTGTTTGTAATTGAGGTATAATTGATATATAAGGGGTGTTAATAAAGTTGGTCATTTTTTCTTTTGATAACTATGGTGTTCGGGCAGCTTGTGCTCACCTCGAATATTCGACTAGGTACCTGCTATCTCCAACAACTCAAGTATTGGTTAACTCTGCCGGCCAAGGTTTAGGCAGATGGAAAGAAATCACCTAGTATTTTCTTGTGCAATCATTTGAACCTGGTTTCCAAGGTTTGCAGACACTTAACTAACAAATAAGCAACACCCTTGGGTTGGTAACATTTTTGCTGAATATTTCCTTCTGATGTGACTGTTTTCAGTTGTTTTAGGTAAGTTTCATGTTGGAGATAGATTGAAATGTGGGGGATAGGATGGTTGCGGAATTTATGCTTCTATTATCGCTCCCTCCTGATTGTCTGAATGTTGAATTAGAAATAAAAATGTCAGTATCAGTAGTATAAATGTTGAAACGTGTTGTAGTTGAATTTGATTTTAGGATTGTAAAACTTATAGTAGTAGTGATTAGTGGTTAGTTTGCTATTATTTCAGTTTTAAATGCATCAAAATACCTTTTACTAGGTGTCAGAATAGTTTTGGATGGCTACCTGCAAATTGTATCTAAAATCCTTCCTATAGTACAATACTTGAATTTAGTTGCACTGTGTTGCAATCATCTAAAGGCACTCACCTTAGTGTATGAACATATGTTGAAGCCTCCTATCTAAAGACAATTATTTGTGCTATGATGTCCGCTCCATGTGTATTATTTATTAAAATATGGCAGATCGATTATTTCAAAGTCATTGTTGTTTGTTAACTATGTTGATTTTTTATTTTCAGGTCAGTTACTATTTCAGAAAGCCATGTCCCAATGACATAGTAATATTCAAAAGTCCTCCAGTCCTTCAAGAAGTAGGATACACAGATGACGATGTCTTTATTAAGAGAATTATTGCAAAGGAAGGTGATACTGTCGAGGTGAGTTCACTAGATGATAGAAGCAGCAATACTACTTTTTAATTTCTGTGAACTTGAACTGCTTAATTATTACTGATTACTAGGGATTTCATGGCCACCACTAGTTCCATTACGTTGAGTTTCTTCCCCCCCCCCCCCCCCAAACACACACACACACACACCCAAACCAAAGGTTATCGAAGGAAATGATTGGTTGACAATATCCTCATATTTCATTTCTGCTAGCTCCCTCAACAGTAAGAGTTAAGTCTTTCCATCATCCATGTGCTTCTTTTTTGCGAAAATCATGTACTGACCTGGTCAATCCAATCAGTGTATTGAGGGAAAGGTACCCTTTTTGTAAAAGGTCTCTGAATCCTGTATTTGGGAAATGCATCTTCTCTCCGCCATTCCTACTCTCTTGAAACATTATGTCCTCTTAGAATCTTTCTCTAATAGCATTACATATATTACTGATATAATCACGAGCATCACCCAAGACTGCTGCAAGTCTAATCCACTGACCATGTGCCACTTGATCTAGTATCAGTGTACGTTGTCAAATAACATGCTTCTCCAGTCTCTGCTCTCTTAGGAGAATTCTTGGTCATACCTTTGATATTCAAATTTGAGAGACTTGACATACTCGATTCCACTCAAGAGCTAGTCTTCGACAAGGTTCTTTTTGGCATCTTATCCCTCCATTTTAAATTTAATCACAAATACAAGCTCAGATGGTGTCCACTTTACTGAGATGGAAGAATCTATTTAATACTATAGAAAAGAAATTTTATAGAATCCTCTTCTAGTATATAACTTTTCTTTTTTCAATCTTAAACAGCAGAAAGATAACTCAAAAGTTTAGTTTACTTTCTTTCCCATTTAATTATTCACATTGACACTTCTTAAAAGTTGTGTCAAATCAAAAACAAGAGTTCAATGTGAGATAGAGTAAAAGATTTAACTAGTTAGGAACTGATAGTTGTAATTCATAGAAGTGCTATTTTAAAAAAAAGTCTGGGGAAGTTTACCTTTACTTTGCTATCCAAAGAGGATACCCCTTGCAAGCGTCATCCCTTTCGCAATTACTTTCCGAACATGGCCACTTGTAAATTATCGCTACAATTTGTCCTCTCTTTTTTTGTAT